GTGATGGTTGTTCACTACAAGTGCAGTGTGCTTAGGGGTCCAAAAGTAACAAGAGAATTACCGAGCAGCATCATCAGGCACTGCAACTGTTCTCAGGATGGCCTCAGGATCAACACTCTCTCTCCAGTGGAGAAGTAAATAGTGGGTGTTTGTCAAAGACTTGTCTAGCCCATGCAAGAAATGACATGTACAGTAGGTAGCTGCATCAGCATGCATTGGCTGAAAAGGAACAGGTAAAGGTACTTACTGAAAAGAGAAGAAAAGAAACACAATGTCTGGGCTGTGGAGTCTTCTTCAAGTGTTACACGGCTCCACAGCCAATACGTTGTGTTTCTTTTCTTCTCTTTTCAACATGGAATAAACCTTTACTTGTTCCATGGAAATATGTGGCTCCTTGTTGTTAATGAAAAGAAAAGGTTAAAATGGAAAACAGATTGTTTCCACCCTTAGGTTTCTTCTTTAGGCTCTTACAGTTTCCTATCAGTTTCATGAAAGATCTAAAGACAAGACTTGGCAGTTTTTGCCTTAGATCCAACACGCTTTGAGCTGCTCTTCTGAATGCTCTCATATTTATTAATAACCTGTTTTGCAAGTGCAAGTCTCAAAACTCTTAAGAGAAAAATAAAAATAGACAAGGTGACAGAACAGATGAGAAAGCCGGTATAATAAAAAATGACAAAGTAAGAACAATTAAAGTTAAAATATGAATTAACAAAGATCATAAAAAGTTCAAATACATTATACATCAGTTATATTCAAAAGCTATTTTGTAAAAGTGTAGATCTAAATAAGCCATACAAGACATTTTATTCCTCAATGAATGAGCTTGACATCTGTGGAGGCCAGATACTTAAGATAGCTCAATTCTTTCTCTTCAACCTAACCTTCAGTATACACTGTCACGAACAGCACGCAAACACGCAAATGCTCCCAAAATCTCATGAGCACTCTTCACCGTAAACGTCCACGCACCAATTAACACCGCACACTTTCCTAGTGACACCCTCACTCTCCACTTGGCCCTCGCTCACTTTTGAGGTCTCTTCGCCGAGCTACACTGTAACTTCCAGTTCCTAAAGACTTGGATTTTCTCTTCTGTTCCTACTGGCCTTCGACTCCAAGTTACCGGTCTCGGCCACGATTTTGCCTCTGGTTTTGGATTTGTATTGAAGACTGAATCTTAACGACATCGTGACCAGACGAGACTGGAGACAGCTACACATAGGGTCCTACCTGCTCCTGCCTGTGTCGCCTGACATACACGGAATGTCACAACTGTCCTCCGTAACTCTGCAATATTGGTAGCTGCCAATCACTTTAGTGTTTTTATGTAAGTGAGCTTTTCAATTCTATAATTAATGGGGAATCAGTGTAGAGAAGCCAGGACAGGAGTGATGTGTTCTGTGATTTTTTTTTAGGGATGATTCCAGCAGCAGTTTTCTGCACCACCTTAAACTGTGATACACATCCTAACCACCAAATAAAGTACTAAAATACAGCAGTCTAATTTGGTTGACACAAAAGCATGGACTGCTTTCTCAGCATCAGATATATGAATGACCTAATAAGAACATAAGGTGTTAAATTAGTAGACAGAACACAGTAATGCAGATAACAAATGAAGCTTTTTTTTCTAAAAAATCTATTGTTATAAATTCTATTTTATCAGTATTTTACAGTGAAGGGGTGTGAAATATTCAACCTGTGATGTCAGTTATGCAATATAATAATTCTGAAAATGTCACCAAGTTTTACAAAGTATAATGTTATTTACTTGTAAGATAGAGCAAAAGCTCCACCTGCTGATAGCAGTTATTAAAAAGGTTACTGCACACAACACGTTTTGTGATATATAAACGGGTCCAAAACATCGACGACAATTTGTTCCGTGCAGGTCTTATAGTGATATCAGTCTTCAATCTCTGGAGCCCTAATTTTAATCTCAATAATTCGATATAAATGGCTGTGTGACTGTATTTAGTACAGTATCATAATTAAACAGCTCCAGTCCTCGAAAGGTGCTGTAGAATCCAGCAGGGTTTCTAGGCATTTATAAATATGAACACCCGGATACCTGGCGACTTTTAAAAAGTGTCAACGACGAGTTCAACTGTAAAAAGCAAAGATAGAACGAGCTGCACACCGGGAACGTCTGTGTGCTAAAACGCAGGTTGTGAACGCTGTTTTGTTATCAAGTCATTTGCTGCCCTCTAGTGTCCTGAAACAGAATAAAAATGGATGCATAATACAGTGTTGTCAGGTGCTACCCAATGTCTTTTGAATTACCGGGTATTCAGTCACTAGCGACAACTGGCGTGTCTGATTTTCCAGGCCAACGCTGCGTTTTATTTTGTAATAAAGGTAATAACGTGAAGTACTCCCAGACATAAAGTTAAACATATTTAACATATAAACATACAAAAGGTAGTACACGCATGATTGAAAACGTTTTTAAAAATCAGATAAAAAGTCAATCATTTGGGATATTTTGGAATACCGTGTTGTTTTCTTTTTACTCCGGAATGCCTTAAATATGATGGGGAAAAAATGAACACGTTTTTAGATGTTATTCATATTGGAAATAAAATCACCCGTTTTCCGATCATGAGAACGTGTTTTCATTATAATCTAATATATTGTGTAAAATTAATGGCACCGAAACATTTAAAAACATTACAAAAGATGTTGTTACTCAGAAACCAATTCACAGAAGAGTGACCAGGTCTTGAATTCAAGGGATTTAAATTTAAAGAGGTTCGTCAGCAGACCTCGTGGCGCAACGGTAGCGCGTCTGACTCCAGATCAGAAGGTTGCGTGTTCAAATCACGTCGGGGTCACTTTTGGGTACATTTCCTTAATCTTCGCTAATAAAATGATCTTCCCCTTATCACCGTCACAAGTTAACGGCAAATATAAAAAGAATGACGCAGACGTGTAACAAAGATAGAAGCAGGCATTATCACACTCTTGGCGCAATCTGCCATAAAGGTATGTACACATAACTTTTAACGTTAATCATTATTACCTGATATCAAAATCCACGTCATAATGACCACAGAAGATGTTACATATTACGGGACATCAGAGTATCATTTCAATTGTGACCTAATTATTCAACGTGTTGTCCATCAAATAATTAAGGATGAACAAAGTAATGTCAGAGAGTTTTGCGAGACATGTTATGATATGAGAAAGTCCCTAAACCAGTCCTCTGGGCTAATAATACTGCGGGTTTGTTTTGGGTGGGGAGATCTTTGGGTTCAAATTCCGCTGCCACGGAGGTGTTTAGAAACATTTTCTAAGAGAAGAAATGAGTTGGCGAACTGCGATGTACAAGATGAATAGGACATTTTGACAACGATAAGGAAATATTACTAGCAGAAACAAAGCAGAGCAAGGAGACAGCCCAGAACCAAAATCTCTCGAGAGAGAATTTCTCCCTCCGAGCAACGAACCATAGTCAACACGCTTCCGGGTTGCCCCAGCAATAGCGACAGAATTAGTAGTGTAAAGAGTACGCCCCCACGCATAATGAGGAGCTTGGCCGCCTGAGCAGGGGATGTTCACCTTTGGCTCAGCTGGCAAGCTCCCTGATGCGTGACGGCGGAGTTCCGAGTTCGAGCCCCGGCGCTGGAGCGGTGAAAGCACATGTCCTGAGAAATTCGTTACAATATTAATTTAATGGCTAGTCCTGCAATTTTGAAGGTTGTGTATACCTGATGTAACTCCCTATTTCTGCTCCCCTACACAATATTTTAGTCTAATTTTATTAATATGTTTCAGTAATCGTTTATTCTGTGTTGTTTAACCGTTTCTCCATAGGCGAAATCAGAGCACATTTGTAGAGGCGCAAATTGCGAACCAGGGACATCTGATTCTACATTTCTGTTTGATTTTCCGTTTTTTGTTTTATTATTTCTTTTTATTTGGATTTTTATTTTTGTATGTGTTTTGCACTTCACATCGTATAAGTTGTTTTGAGAAAATTTTGTTGTTTGTAAGGCTACTACTGAGACTGATATTCCGCTGTAGAAAACCAGTAACTAAACCTTGTTACTATAATATATTATCTGTTAATAATATTAACAATATTAGTTATATAAATAAAATAACCTTTTCGGTTATAAATGCATACTGCGTTCAGAACATACCTGAGCGGAATTAGCATAAACTGAGTTTTAGTTCAAACACATTTTACATTTTTGAAAGTTAACACAATGTAGTACTATGGGTTATGTCACAAAGACGCAGATGATAAATTGCATTAGATTGGTCGTAGCAAATCAGGAAATTGTTCATTTACATATTGTTTGAATAATCCTATGCAGTCAGAATGGGTGAATAAGTAAGCAAATGAACTGTCACTTGAAACCGCTCCTGAGTTCAGTCGAGTCCATACTGTTTGAACTTGGGGAACATTATTACAGTTGTTCTATGAAATTAAATGGACTTGTAAGGTGTTTTGCAGTTTCACAATGTTTAATAATATTTTTTAAGAAGTAAAACTAAAGCAATAATAAATTATTATAAAATGCTCTTTTTTATTTGCCCATATATTCCTTCTCAGCTTATGTACAAAGCATCCTCCAGGAAACAGTACTAATTGTAATAATCTAAACAAATTATACTAAGGATAGATTAATATAATAAAATAATAATAAACTCCAGAAGTGGCCATCTCTCACTGCACCTTCATTTGTTTTATACCTGAAGATAGGCAGAAGCACAGATCATTTCAAATTCTGCATGACATCCCATTCATGAAAGATAGATTGTGTGGAAGAAAATGTTTTTCATTTTTGCTTTATTTATTTTATTGCCTATGAACTGGATTCGTCACTCTGTTCTCCTCCCCACTGATAGCTGATGTGTGGTGAGCGTACTGTCCCATTATGACTGCTGTCGCATCATCCAGGTGGATGCTGCACATTGGTGGTGGTGGAGGGGAGTTCCCATTACCTGTAAAACGCTTTGAGTGGAGTGTAAGGAATTATTGTTGTTGTTATTATTATTATTACCTGAGATTAAATTGTTTTGTGAAGCACCTTTAGCACCAGTGCTGCAGTGTTTTTTACCAACACAGATGAGCAGAAGACAAATGTGCTGCTTTGTGCAGAAACCTCAAGTAATGAAGGCGAACACCCTCTAGTCATTCTTCACTTGGTAATTGAGTACAAAGGAGTACGAGCGGTCGTTATGTTTCTCTTGTATCATGACATTCAGGTCTTTGCAGCCTCTAGTGCTGCAGGTGCCTGTCCAGTATCCATCAACATCCTGGGTCAGTTTGTGGGTGTCTGTGCCACTCACCGACACTGACGCCACTTTGGGGATCTTCAGCTTGAACCGCACATCGCGGTTGGCGGGGAGTACCCCAACAAGTGGTTCAACCAGTTCATATTCCTCCATCCAGGAGGCATAAGCCAGAGGGAAAACAGGCCACTGCACACTGGAATCGGTGCAGGATATCAGGTAATTGCAGACAAAGTCATAGCTGTTCCCCGGCACTGACTTTTTCTTGGCATATATGTTGAACACATACAATCCGGCCCTTGGAAGCTGAAGTTTAAATTCCACCCAGTCTCCGTTCCTGGACACAAAAATATGTCGCCTCTGCTCATCGTCGGTCATGCAGAAAGCGGCTGTGATCAGCTTGCTGGTGAAGCTGAGGTCTTTCTCCACAGAGAAGCCAAAGAAACACCGGCCGTCCTGGGTGTGGATGAGAGGACCGCACTGGGAGGGCCTGTGGAGACCCTTGCTTTCTGTCAGCCAGCTCGGACCCACCGGGTTGCTGAAACCAGCCGGCAGCCTCATCTCCTTGTTGACGGACTTGCACTGGAGCTGGTACTCACACACAAAACTGTATTCTTCTCCGGCATCGTGGTTGCTGGCGTAGATTTTCAAGCTATGCTTCCCAGATTGCTGTGGGTAGATCTCTAGCTTCATGCCATCGGGCCTCAATGTAAGAATCCCGTCCTCCTGTTTCTCATTCAGCGTATGCATGAACTGCACAGGGGAGGAGCTCTCTATCATGACTGTAGCTTTTCCTTCTCTTCCTATGGAGCGGCAAAACCAGAATTTCAAAGTTATAACCATGACAGAGGTATGGTAAACATGGTGGTTGATGATAGCAACACAGGTGCTGGTGGGGATATAAATATTTCCACTAATGTAGACACCATGCTTACTGTGAGCAGAAACGGCTCACCTGCTTGGATCTGAGGCGACTCTGGGAGGATGGAAAGAAGGCCAAGGTTATAAAAACAGCTTTTCTTATCCAGAGCATTTTCAAACTGTCTCAGAGAAAGCGGAGGCTCCAGCAGCTGCCACTGCCTCTCCAGAGGGAAATGATTCCCAACAAAGAGGGCCGGGTGAGTGAGGAAATAAAACTCATCATACCTGCAAACACAGAGAAAAAAACGTGTAGACACCTGCTCATAGAAACATGGGACAACACCACAAAACGTAAGTATCGGCCACGGAAATCATAGGCCAGTTAGATATTGGATAAATATATTCCCACTTTAAATCCAACAGGTTAAATTGGATACCAGATTTGGTTACGAGTAATGTTGGGGAAAGTTACTTTTTCCAATTACAAGTTTCTAATATATGGGATTACATCTTTAGGTGTCAAATATATGTCACCTCAGCTCATCATCTGACATGATCTGCTGGGATCAGCTTCCTATTGGGACAAAAGTTATTTTAAGATGTAATGTATTCATTTGCATTCCACCAACATTACAGAAATCACTGTTGTTAATTTTAAAGAATAACCTCTTACACAAGTAGCTCACTATTTTGTAAAGGTAACATTCCCAAGAATTGCCATTGACATATATGCAGGCCTGCTGTGAAATAGGGGTTCCCCACTCCAAGTCTAGTCCTCCAGATACTGCGGAACTGTGTGTGCAGTCACTCACTGAAATGTGAATTTGGAGCAGTCGTCGTTGCATTTCCCAGCTCCCCATGTGCTGTCTAGAAGGTGCCATTTCTCCTCCAGAACAACAGCATTCCAGGCATGATCTGACTTTCCTGTGAAGTGCATCCCTTGCTGGTAGCCATAACCCTTTGCATATCCAGACACTTCCACACATTTAATTCCTGCAAGACTAAATTTCACAAATTATTAAAAAATATACCTATACTGTACTGTACTATAGGATATACTGTACTACACTATACTGCGCTATAGAATACCTAGGATCTGGTTTGTTATGCAGTGCAGAACCAGTATGAGTTCTTTTTAGAAAGCTTTTACTGCAAGAACTAACTAGAGCAGTAAATAAGACAAAAACAAGAGCACATGTAATAGGATAGACAGTATGGAATGACAGAACAAACACGTTAATACACGTTAGTTGGTTAAATGACACCCAATCTGTTTATGCTCAGACCATGGAATGGGGGAGGGTGGTGTCTGCTCTCCATGGAATGACAACGAATGGGTCAGGTGGAACCTGTGGGTTGGCAACTACTGAGCCATTTAATCACCTGACAGTTGCTGCAGGTACCACCCGGTGTCACGGACGTCCAAAGGGACTAACCGTGGGGAGCAGGAGAGCGGAAAAAGACCCATATACGTAGCGGCGAGACGGGAAAAAGGCCCGGGCTCATAGTGCAAAGAGTTCAGGAATGCCGTATAGAAACCTATGCCCTCAGGGAGCGGACGTGGGGCGCCCTGGTGCTAGGCGGGTCTCAGGACATCCGAACGTCAATGCTGAGCGAGGACAGAGTGCAAGACCCGAAAATATATAGCCCAAGGGAAAGAGAGGGACAGGAAGGACAGCAGACCGGAAACTAGGGACAGGACAGAGAAGGAGCGCCCTCTGGCTGCAGAGGGCGTGACACCCGGCCCATTCCCATCGTACAACCTCACACTGATACCTGCCCATTCAATGGTCTGATTCCTAACCCATCAGCTCTAAATGATCAGACAAGGCTGGAGAGTCAGCTACCTGCACATCTTCTGAAACAAGCTGGCATATCCACCACACACCCCCTTCCCTGCTCTTAAGACTTCTTCAGCTGCACCACACCGGAGCCCAGGGTTGTGAAAACCCTCCACATCATACTCTGTCAATACACAAGCATTCAAGATAAGGATCATGCCCCATTAAGGAATGTTGAATAATCAAGAATAATCCCTCTTTTATAGATTGGGGAGAAAATAAGCACTCTACCTTACAATAGTTGCTGTTTAAAGGTTAAAATACACATGCACTGTATAGCCTGTATTCTCACCTGACCTTTGTTACCCAGCTTTTTATCCACACAAAAAGCTCCTTATTACATGTTATATCCATACTGTACACACCACTGCCGCTGCTGTGTCTCTGAATTCATTAATAGTATATTACAGTAGGAATTCGTTCCTTTTTTCTCTCTTGTCATCAGTAATAAGTTCACAAACCCAGTTTTTACCTTACGGTAGACACCAGTGCCCTCTGGGATATATCCTAAATTCCCATGTGCTGTGTACCCACTAGTCTTACTCTTCCTGACCTTTGACCAATGGTTCCTGAGATTCAGCTATCCACATTCTGCGGACAGTTGCTTATTTGGAGGTCTGTCTGGATGCGGTTGCAGACATTCTTTGGCCCAAATCTCCTTGGCAGAGTGACTGTAAAGTCAAAGTAGCGGGAACCCCCCTTGTAAAGTGAGCTGAGGAACAGCTGTGAGGGTGCTGAGAGGGTGTCAGGGAGATGCAAAGAGATAATAGGAAAGGGATGGACTTTCTTGCATTTACAGGTGGACTGGATGTGATTTTCTTCTCAATTGTAGATTCAGGCTTCATTAAATTCAAATGTGCAGTGCATAACAGTCTATAACAGTCGTGTATGGTGATCTTTCATAAATACCCATCAATATAAACATCTAAATGAAGACTAAATGTATATCAAATGCAGGGCTACTCACCAATATTGTGGGTGACCCACATCCAGATGGCTCTGACTTTTTCAAGCTCGCTGTGTGCTTGCTTCACAACTTCCTGAACCAGGACCTCCACGCTGCTCTTTGCTTTCACCTGTCAACACACGTCCACTACAATAGTGTCTTCAGAAAGAGTCCGTCCACAGTTAAAAGATGCGGAGAATGCACGGACCAATGCAAAAGACTCTAATGAAATGAATGTGCAACAATTACCTTTTTGCACCATCTTCAGTGCTGTGCAGTTATAATACTGTATATGAAACAGCTCTGAAGCCTTACTTAATTACATACCAAGGTATAAAGTAAAGGCATAAAAACCTTATTTCGGCAGCAATAATTTATGGCAGAGATTTCTTTGGAGTAGCAATACAGAAATTGCAAAATCCTCCCAATAAGACTTAAGACTATTAATAAGTATGACTTTATTTTCCTACTGTAAGACAAAAACCTGTTAATTACAATAAGCTTTATCTTTCTTTTTTCCTGTAAAACATACCTTTGAAGAATAGGCATCAAGCTGTCTGAATTTACCCAAGTCAACTGGGAAGGACTTCAGGTTGGATCGGTCCCAGGGATAAGCTAGGATCAGAAGCACAAATCCAGATCTTTGATACCTGACCTGACAGTCACTCAGAAATGAGATCAGTTAATGGCATTGAAATTATAATATTAATTTAAATTACATTATATTGACTAAAAAAGTAAGAAAAATCTCACAAACCACATTTTATTTTTTAAATTTTGTGTGAATAGTTTGTTTTACTGACTTTTAAAAATCTGAAATAGGTCATCATTTATTACAGGCATGTTCATTCAGTTTTGTACCTTATAAACTTATTAACTGAAGCTCATTAAAGACTCACCATAATTTGTCTTTTCTTTGCTGTTATGTGTTTTTATTGTATCATCAACAAATCCTGAAATTAAGTACATAACAAAAATGGTTAGGGAAGCAAGTTCAAAACTTACCACAACATGCCGTGGATGAAGGTACAGTAATAGTATTTGTACTTGTCAACTTTACATCTTACACGTTGTACATAAACTAGTACTAAAAGGACAAAAATAAACCAATACAAAGTTTATTTTTCATAAATAAAGAAAGCTTACCCTTATTATCATATATGGTATTATTTTCCCTGGTTTCTCTTCTTACTGTTTAATGAAAGAGGAAAAAACATTATTTTTTGTTAGTTGCTATGACATATGACTAAGTATAATTATCTGCATACCACTAATGGGAATTTAATTATGTTTGGCAAGCCTGTCTGTTTTTTATCAACCACTTACCTTTGCCAAAAGACAACTTCTTTGACAGTCGCTGTGATCTTTTTATTGGATGAATCTCCACTGTTAAAATGTGGTTAAAAACAGTAATTAGAAAGTGTCAAGATTTAGTCTCACAATGTCCCCACATCCTCCGACCTGTTATCGCATACAGATTGTTCAAAACTTTCCTATTACCTTGAATGGTACTGCCTGGGAAAACCTCAGCTTGTTGATGTTTCCCAGCCTCAGCAAATCCTACAACAAAAGAGTATTTAAACTGAGGGAGTGATAAGATGTTTTTCGGCTAAGCAGAACTCCAGATGAAATTCTGTAAACCCCAGCAATTAGGCTTGTGTTTGGCATTAACTCACAATCTAGGGAAGATTTTTAAATGTGTGGTTTTCAAAGCTATTTGCACTGAGGTTATGTCACCTTGCCTGGAACACAGAATTCAGAATAAAGGCTCAGATACATCTTTTTCTTTGTTCTAAACTAGATAACACTGAAATTGTTATCGATGTGTTCGTTTATTTTACTGTATCATCAGATAACATTTAAATGTATTTACTGTATATCCTTATGTATCATGTACTTACTGTGTGTATGCAAGACCCAGACAGACTGCTTACCTACATTGCAGGAGCCCTCAGCAGCGTTCCGCTTGCCCTGCTCCATACGCTCTGTAACACAGCCTACATCAGTATCTATTTTATTCGACTGTAGCGTGTGCACAAGAATACTTGATTTTCTTAGACTTAAGAGCAGCTTCAGCCTCCAAACTGTCCTCAAGAGTCAGAATGTTTGTCACAGGTCTTGCCATGCGTGTATATCCCATTAACGTGATTATTGTGAATTTGGAAGAAATTGTTTTCACCCGCTCTGCTCAGCGTTTCTCCCTCTCCAACAGACTGGAGAACAGTTAAATGACACCCTCCCTGGATCACATGTCATCAGAGTGTGAGCCAAAGGGTTGGATTGCCTTGTGCTCAGATGACACAATTTGACTGCTACTTCTAGCACCCAAATGCTTACTCTAGGTCAGTGGGAAAGGTAGATTTCCACCTGAGAATTCAGGATCTCTGCCTCAGGCCAAACACATTGCAAGGGCATCCCGAAACACAGTGGCTCACATTACATTCCGATACACATAGTTCCGATTTATAAGCAAGCGAAAGCAGCGAGTCACTTATTCTCAAGTGGGAGTGTTGGGGGGGACTCTGTTCTTGTTTCTGTATTTCTGATTTTTTTGGTTTCTTTCTTAATCTGTTTTTTAGTCTATCAGTACGTAGCCTTAAAGTGCATTTTTGTATTTAAAATGCATCAATCAGTTAAGTGCATAGAATATATGAAGATATATGTTATATGAAGATATACAAAACAAATTCTGAAATGCATGGCCATCCTCCATCTTGCTTACCAAGTCTGTGCTCCTCTTGTTCATTGGCATCTTCTTCGGTGGCACAGCAACCTGTCAGATAAGGCAGAGGTCATCATTATATTCCCATACAATTTCCAGAACCCCTATCTAGTTTATATGACTAGATTGGCATTCCTAGCAAGAGTAAAATGTTTTTACATTTTGAGACTGCACTTTACAGTATGTACAGTATTTATTGAAAGGATATTGTGATTTGTTTTCAGTTTTGTAAAAATGTGATCTGAAGTGGATCGTGAAAATGGATGCATTAAATAATCTTTTGACATCATTGACATGATTTGTTAAAGGTTATCGGTCAAAAACTGTGAAGTAGGAAATTGAAGTGTGGATAAGGTGAAAGAAAAAAAAATTGTACCGACAGAATGACAACGAGAAAACAGCGACGGCAGCACTGAACAAATTTTAATTTCCCACTTTCACTCCTTCGCAATATTTGGCATAATTATATTAGTTGCATAAAGTTCAACTCTCATTTCAGATCCTGAAACGAAGCGGTCTTCCGGTTTTCCTAACAAATGAGCCCTTTCATTGGTTACTGCTGTCATTGACATGAAGCTGAACTATCTCATATTCCTGTCTTATTCATATTCATTTCGAGACACCTATATTTGTAATAAATCGTATGTAAACCCACTATCAGTCACAAATTCTGAAGTCAATGCTTCAGGCGGCTTTCCTTTTGCAGAAGCATGAACTCTCTAAATACCTGCAGTGAATTACTTGGATTATACCCTGATACCTTGATTGGTACCCTGCTCTCTTGTTGCACTACAGATCAGTGTTTAGGGTATAGAAATTTCTTGGAAAACAATGGCTTTAGTTTGCAACTAAAAAATTTAAGCATATTCGCAGCAATTAATTATTTGACCCTAAATATTCCACATACATTTTTTTTCAACTTCCCTAACTCTTTTAAGAAACACTTTTTTAAAAAACGCCGTTCCGTCTCGTCCCGGCTGGTACCCCGTCCCACATTTCCGCATCAATCTGTTGTGCTGTTAAACAAGGAGTTACACAAATTACACCTCTGATAAAACGGAGAAAAAAAAACAGGTTACTTACATAGATAGCACAGGTAAAACGGGAGAAGAGGGAAACAAATGACAGCTAGCAACACTCTCTGTGTTACAGACAGCCGGCTGTGCAAAGCCATTTTCTATGGTGTGTACCTGGTAAGAAAACAAAACCGAGAGTACAATGAACTGGTTGCTAAAAACAGACGCCCAGGTAGGTTAGCTTGCAAACTGCGCAGAATAACTACAGTCATCTTCGTTGTCTCTTCTTGTCTAGTGATAAGAGATCCTTTATAATTGGTTTGAAATGTTAACACTGTAGGAAGACCCCACACACCTGAAGATACGACAGAGCCGCAAAGTTTAGCTCTTCTTTTTCGCATATAAATAATCTCTAATAGTCCTTTCGTGGTGCTTCCTGCTCTGTATTTTTTAAAACAATTATTCATTACAATTTTAATAGTAAAAAAGATGAATTAGCAAAGACCGTCACGTTCAAAATGTAAATGAAAATTGATGGGGGGAAAGGCAGAAAAACTTGTTAGAAAAACTAAACCAGGTAATAAAGTTCAGAGTATTGATCTATGTGTATAACTTACCAACTAAAGTTTAATTTTCTGTCGTATTCTTTACCTCTTCTGTAATCTACCTGTCGAGTCAGTGTAGTCCACCCTCTGCGGGTATATGCGCAGGGTATGTACTGTTAGTGGACTTCTGTACCTATCGTAAAGCTTTTTCCTTGTTGGGATTTCTGATAAGATCAGCTACACCCAAAACAACACGTAGCCTAGCGTGGTGAACATGACCCATTACCATCATCATTTGTTATTTTATCTAATCAAGCACTGCAGCCCGTTTGACTGTGATCTTGCACGGTACATATGATTTTTTTAAAAAAAATTTGCTTCAGAGTGCGAATGTGACCCTTTTCGAAAAGCTGCCTCCAGAGACCTTTTTTCTTTTGGTCTATGTCCCAGGTTTGTGCGGTGCTACAGGAAGCCAGGTAGGCAGGGTATGGAGGTGTCTGTTTCCACACTGAGCGCACGGCGCGGACCGTCCGCCTCGCTGCGGCCTCAGGGGCTGTTTGCCGTTTCGCCACTGCAGGAAACATCTGTAGCCTGTGGTTCAGCTCTGTCTCTCTTGTTGTCGCTTGGTTCTCTGCTGTCTTGTTGCTTTATTTTCTTCTGTTGGCTCGGTTGTGAATCTCGTGTTTCTTCTGAAAGAATTATGCAAGAATGTTAAGAAAGGTTCTTCAAAAGAGAGTAGGCCATTTTGCCCATTTAGCCCACTTGATAGTTCAAGTTCAGGTTTATTTGTCATTCCAGCCATAAACAAAATTACAAGGCAAATACATAATACAATGTACACAATACCCTGGGGGGATTAAAACCCTGTTTTGTAGTTAAGTTGCAGTAGTTAAATATGCAATTTCCCTCACGGGATCAATAAAGTATCTATCTGTCTAATTGATCCAGGGATCTCATTCAGACATTTTGTGAAAGAAGCCAGCTTCAATGTCATGGCTGGGCAGATTGTTCCAGACTCCCACAACCCTGTGTGTAAAGAAATGCCATCTGTTCTCCGTTTCAGATGCCATTCTACGTAGTTTCAACTGGTGTCCTCTGGTTGATAATTCATGCCGATGGGTTGTCTGTGTTGGTGCCTTTGAAGATTTTGAATACTTGTTTTAGATCCCCTCTCTGCCTTCTCCATTCAAAACTATAAAGGTCTAGTAGTTAATGCCCACTAACAATGTAGGCTCCTCTCTTAAGGCCTAGAATGTATCTGGTCTGATTCAAGAACTGTATTCCAGAGCAAAGATTATTCTTTGTATTCTTTTATGTGACTATGTGACTATGTTCTACACGTGCTTTGTCGGTGCTTAAGGTCTGTAAGAATTTTACGTACTGTATAATGTTGGATACCTCTCTTCCTGTTGCGGTATCTAACATCAGCCTTTTCCAGCGTGACAGCTGAACAACATTCAGTCAAAAGGTCTTAAGAAATTAATGCTGGCCTATTTGGGAGCTCAAACCCACAACCCTAACGATTAATGGATAAGGCTACCCACAAACATCTCTCCCTACTGTGCATTTCCGAAAACGTGTCTGCGTTTGACCTTAATAGCTGATGACCTAAACAATCTTAAAATGTAATCGAGCCCTTTTTTTCTGTTCTGAACCCACAGGAAACGAGCACAGCCTAAGACAGCTCTTTCTTCAGCCCTGATTACAGGCGGTACTCTGCAGGTTTTCCCCAAACTCAAAACCGCAAGGGAAGTACAGAAACATTATTTAATTAAATAGGACAGGATGAATTTCGCTGCCTTTCGATTCCCTAGCTAAAAAGGAAAATAATGATATTGAAAATTTGTTATGACCTTAAGGAATAATAACCGTTTTGTTAAAAATGCTTTTAGCGTTTTGTGTTATTGAATTACTCATAATATTAATAACGTCTTTGTATCATAGGCTTTCCGTTACGTGATGTTGAATTAATTCATTGAAATCAAAACAGAAGGACAAATAATATTATTACAATCCTTATATCATTCTAGAAATGGAACTTTGGTTAGTGGAATTCATGTCTGCATTTCAGTTTAGCGCGCTACATAAACAAATCATCCTGCCCAAACTGTTACAGTTACTTACCATTATGGCCTCTCAGTAAAATGACCTAGAATAACTCAAAGCCTTTAATTTTATCTTCCTGGAATCGGAGAACTGGAGGAAAACCATTTTACTGCTGTAAGTGGTGTTGGTGGAGTAGTAGATTGAGCTCCCCTCTATGGCCCAAGTTCCGAACCAATGCCCCAGTAAGTGTGTAATAAATAACATGCTTCTGGAAGTGCTGTCTTTCCTGTAAGCGCAATAGGCTACTTTGTACTAAAGCTTTTGAAAGTCTGTTTAGAACAATAAAATTATCTCTATTTTTTTTTTAGGGTGGGGCCAATAGTAATTTCAAGAACTCCGGGAAAATGGCTTTAAAAAAAAAAACAAAGCGCTTGCGTTGGCCGGGAATCGAACCCGGGTCAACTGCTTGGAAGGCAGCTATGCTCACCACTATACCACCAACGCCCGTGTTGACACGAAGAGCAGAATTCCTTTTTTGAGTGAGTTGACGGATTCAGCTCAGGCGTTTTATTCACTAACTCAAAATCTATAACGAAAACAGCACATCGGGACCAGCAATGGACACAAATGTCAAAATCGTTGTGAGAAAAAAACACGAACTAACCCCTTAGTTATCTTTAAAAGTAACTTCTAACAGACAATATGAGGACTTAATCACTATGGAAACTATTTTATAATCCCGGTGACATATTTTATATTTCGCGTAAATATTGTATTCGGGTCTACAGCCCTGCGTACTTCTGTTTATAATGCTACACAGGATAATTAAAACTGCAATGATTCGGAACTCTCCGCTAAAATAGAAATACATTGTGTTTCTTATGTATTAAATGGGTCACGTACTTTATATACCAGCCAATTCCTTTTCATACGGATTCCTAATCACACATATATGCAACGTCTTCTCTGAAGGCACCGACTTGGTTTGTCAGTGACTGTGTAACTTTATTTAAGCTAGGAGTGTAGATTTAGCCTTACCCAAGATAGTACAGTTTTTCTTTATTTTAATGTAAAATATGTCTAATTTAACTGAATTGATTATGTCTTACAAACTCAAACATATGTACAAACGATATTATAGGATAAGTGATAGCGTAATGTTTGGAAACCCAGGTCTACTGCAGATGTGGACAAAAGATACTGGCAAAGTGGGTCGCCTGTGTTTCCGTCTGAGGTTCTGCTTCTGAAATACTGTTAGCTGACCTAATTCAACTTCTAGAAAACAATGGCTTTCGGATGCGAAACACACAGCCACCTTCCAGCGTCCGTCATGCGTTTGGTCATTTTGTCTCTTCTTCTGCAAAGTAAGTGCCGAGTTATTTATTATTATTGAAAACATATTGAAGCTGATGGCTTTGTTGAAAGTTACACTGATAACGCTGCTTTCCTGAACATTATATAATTCTAAGAATGTTTGGAATAGTCTAAATATTTTAGATTTCACATTAATGGAGAAGAAACACTATAATGTGATCTACACGATATAGTTTTTAGTTTTTTTCTTTTAAACAATGGGTTAAAACACAATAAATTGCTTATTGTAACGGGAAAAAAAGTATTTTGTTTTCTACAAATTAATTTATAGAGGAATTATTTTGCAAAGATTTAGTGAGTTTATTGGTACAAAATTGAAGATTATTTATAGACATACAGAATAAACTCTGATGGATCAGTGTGATTCTTTTGCAGTCGGCATAGGAATGCTCTGGACGCTCTGTGTGTTAGGAACAAGAATTTTATATTAAAATTAACAGATATAAAACAATAGCTGTTTTCACCACGAGTGCATGTTAATTAAATACGATGAGAAGTGTTTTATTGTTTCAAACAAAAGTGTCTCGTCCCCGTTTCGACTCTTTTGAAAGAAGTAAGGCAAATAAGGTTAAAAGTTATACAACAAAGCTGGTGTTGTATCTTTCTATGTTATAACTTTTAGAAACAATTTTGTTCAGTTGGTGCTGATCGATTGAAGACTTTGAAACGGTAAAAAATGCCGGGTTATATTTTTGTAGGAATGTGTAAAAATTAGTTTCGGCTTTTTAGTTTTTTTCGAGTCACCTTCAGGTTGTATTTAGAAGACTTCACAGCCAAAATGTTGTTTTTATACATATTTCCGATCAAATAGTTTATAATTTATTTAGATTATAAATGTTATCATTTATAATTTACTTTATAAGAGTAAACAATCAATAATAAAATCATTTCAATGTAATAAGTAAAAATAATCTGTGCATAGTGCAATTAAAACATTTCGGTTTAGGTCATACGGGTAAAAAAAAGACGCTCTCTTTTAACGTGCTGGATACTTAATTAACAAATCAAAACAATAAAATGTCAGTTGAACGATATTTTAAAAATCAAACCCATGTTAGATTGTTCCTTTGTTCAAAGGATTTAAAACTAGGTTGCTGGAACTGTTGAAGAAAAAGCCCATTTGATACTAACAGGAAACTGGGACAAGACATTTGATGTTTTCTCGGCCCATGTACCCGTGAAACCGTATAGCATATTCATTCTGTTCTAAAGCTGTCTTTTGCGTTTGTTTTACAGCCGCAGATACAGTGATACATCAATATCCACCTTTAGTAAGAGGTGATATCGGGAGCAATATAAGCTTGACTTGCCTCATCGAAGACATGACTGGCTACTGCTTCTCTGTTGTGTGGTTTAAGCTGGAGCTGAAGCGCTCCCCGCATTTGATCCCTTTCAACGCGTATGTCCGAGGATCTGACGTTTCCACTGGGGAACCGGTCGATAAAACCTGTGTGCTTACCCTGATCATCCGAGAGGAAAACGACTCTGGCACCTTCTTCTGCGCTTATGTGCGAGGCTCATCGGTTTATATTGGAAATGGATCGACAGTTGTCGTAAGAAGTACGAACGTCTTTAACAGACCAACTATAAAGATGTGTGCGATCCACCACGTAGCGACTTGTGCAAACAATAACCACCTATACGGAACCGGGCATAGTACGGAGTTCAGAAAAGAAATTGCATTTTATTTTATTTTTTTGTTTCATTTCTAAAGGAGAGCAGGTCATCCGGCTACGGTACTCATCGTTATTTCTTTTCGTTCAGATGTCACCGCAGGAGTTGTAAAACCCATGAGCATTGTGACCATCACGCCCGACAACAGAGTCCCATCTGAGAACAACACGGCTGAATTAGTGTGCGTGGTTTTCCGAGCCCTTTCCGACCAGCTGCGCGTCCACTGGGTGATAGCAGGACAGGTGCGGCAGGGGATGAAGGCATCCGGGGCAATGCCTTCAGGTGAGGTCGCTCCAAACATCATCAGCAATCGCATCATCATTGAGGAGAGGGCCTGGAAAGACGGCACTCCGTTCACTTGCGTGGTAGAAACAGAAACCGGACAGCGTTTTAACAAGACCGTGAGCAAGAAAGGTACAAAAGGTTAATAAACAGAACATTGTTCAAATGAACCAGTACCAGGCCAAATTATTACTGACCATTTATACAGCATCAAATCCATATAAAATAACTACAAAATATGCGTTGCATTAACTGTAACATTGATAACTGTACCATGCTCTTCTTTTATTTTAACGAGTGGCCCTGTTGAAGCTATACTGTAGGTACTCCCTTGTTGCAAGAGTTGTCTTTCCCAGTTTGGAACTTTCATCCAGGCGATCCATCACAGTATGGCAGAAGTCAGATGATCATGGTCCACATTGTCTGCAGAGTTTCCAAGTCTCTTTAGAGCACCTGTTTGTGCTCAATTTCCCTCACGGGATCAATAAAGTATCTATCTATCTGAATGGCTGGGGAAGAAGTGTCTAATTAAGTCATCGACGCTCAGAGTAATTAAGATCCAGTTTTCAATTCTGCAGAAAGACGTCTGCAGATCCCCAGGATTAGACACCCTACACCAGCAGAAAATCAGCGCTAGGCAGGTCTGCTAAAATAAGAATGAAGAGGTTAAAGTCCATTAACACTCTCTGTCTTCTCTGTTCCAGGTGGAATTCAGCTCACCCTGACACTGCTTAGAGTGCTGGAAATCCTGCTGTTCTTTCTTGCAGTGAGCATCACAGTGTGTTTTCTATCCAAGAAGAAGTGAAGCTGTCTTTACAGACCCTCCCAATTTATTTTTTGCTTTTGTCTTTTCATCCTGTTATAATATAATACCCTTTTCATTATAATTCAACATTTCTTCTAATAAACAATGCAGTTTTACAAATGTATGTATGTAACCTGGTCTCTTGCAGTCCTGGCCATTGCTACACTGCTACCCATTGCTACCCTTCCAGCTGTTTAATTACTTAGCTGTACAAACTCTTGTAACGGAATCACAGCCCAGTCCAGGTGTTCGCAGTCGTGGTCCTGAAGGCCCACACGCCTGTGGGCTTGCATTCCAGCTGAGACTAATCATCTAATTGAAGCTGTAATTGAACCAAACTAAACCTTGCCAATATTCTTGCAAGTGATTGAACTAAACCTTGCAAGAATATTGGCAAGTTTTTTTTCTGCTCAAAAGCTTGGGATTATATTTAATTTATGAAATGCAATATTTACAGGACATCCTCCAATGTGTTTAATACAGTCAAACAGTTCAAATGAAACCTATTATCAAGTTAATAAAGGGTCGGACTGAGAGGTCAGCTGGCACAGAAAAAACAGATGTGTTTGTACAGTACAAATATGGGCTGTATATTACGTTCCAATAATCATTAAGATGGATATACTGTATATACAGTACATGGCAGGTAAGGTAAACCTTTAGCAATAGAAAAGAAAAGGTGGGCTCGTCCGGGATTTGAACCCGGGACCTCTCGCACCCAAAGCGAGAATCATACCCCTAGACCAACGAGCCACGGAAGGAAAGTCAGCTGTTGCTTATATATCTTTGAACTGCAGTCACTGGGAGCGGGCGGGGTTACAGTATAAAGTTACTGTCTTACACGGGTGCCAACTTCTTGCATCACAGTGGTCCACGTCACTAGGAGAGACATTCTGGGAGATCAGCAGTTGTTGTTATCCACGGATTCTCTGCAGTTTACAATACTGGTTATCGATCAAACAAGAGGTAGAGACGGAAACGGAGAAAAAAATATTATTTTTTTTGCAAAGTAAGATTCCACTCACCAGTTTCGATGCTATTTCTTCCACGACAATAACATTTGTGAATCGTTTAGCATACCGTATGGAATGTTTTGGTTATTACTTCAACTGGTACTGTTCACGCAGTGTGCTTTCTTTGCTCCGACGTCAAGAGTCATTTGTCTTTACAAGTGCTTTTGAAAATGCTTTTACTGGTTCGCTTATCCTCCTAATGTGGTATAATCTGCAAACTGAATAGATTACTAACTATGCCAGAATCTAGATCATTGATAAAAATTAGTATCAGAAACGGTGCTAATATAAAGATCCCTGTGGTACTTCACTAATTGCATACTAAAATTTGAATTTACCGCTTATCTGTACCGTTTTCTATTTATTTACCAATCCAAAAGCACACATATGCCAAAAGCCTGTAATCGAATAATTACTTTTATATGCGAAACTTTATCAAAGGCCTGCTTAAATTTTAAATACAACTTTTCATATGATTTCAATATTGCTCTGATCATAAAGCTGGGTCCAACTGGTTGTTGCTTTTTTAAGGAACTCTAACAATGTGGTTAAAATATTTAAATATTTCCCAGGATTTTATTTCCATATAAGGTTGGTGATTCTCTAGTTTAGTTCTGACAATTGTTTTCACGACCTTACCTTACCTTTAATAGAAATAAGACGTATAGGTCTATAATTACTTGGGACAGTTTTGCAAAACATATTTTAAGGATGGACACGACATCCTCTCTCTTTAGCCACTGATGGACGAGTTGAATAGTTTGTTTAACGCGACCCTGACTCTTGGGTTCTTCTGGTACCTGAAACATTTCGTCTTTGCTATGTTAGAACAGTTTAAAACGACCTCTCTTCTGCTGCCTGAGGCATGTTGTGAAATACTCCTGAGTGAAATACTCCTTTATTACATCCATTTCCCTTTCATTGTGTGTAGAGGTTTTCCATCGTTGTCTAGGACACTTTATGTAATCTTTAATAGCTTTTCTTTGTAATACTGAAATAACGTTTTACTTATTTTTTCCTCCACTGGAAAATTAAAACTTGTGGCACATGCACACATTTCCTTGAAGAAACTGCTACAGTGTTTCAGTTAAAACATAAAATATCAGCAATAATAGTTTTGGCATATAATTTACAAGTGAAAGCATTTACATGAAAGTTAATAGAATGAAAACAGCAGCGTCTGTCCGACTTAATTCACAAAATAGCAGTGAAAGAAAAAAACGGGGCTCGTCCGGGATTTGAACCCGGGACCTCTCGCACCCTAAGCGAGAATCATACCCCTAGACCAACGAGCCACACATTTTAGCATTTTTGGAGAAGTACTCAAACGTCTTTGCCACGTTGCATGTAAGCTGTACTTGTAGATGGATATGCAGCTTCTGGAGTTTCTCAGAAACCTGTTTTGACTGCCATCTAGCGGTTGTCATAGTATGGTGGGCGAGTAAAACTCAGCTGTTCCGTCTAGAAATTATCTATGAGTCACAGTCCTGGACACGAAAATGCATGGTGTCTTTTATTTGCTGATGCTACTCGCTGGGCTATCTAAATCTACTCTGAACAAACTGCAGTATGTCCAAAATTCAGCAGCTAGAATCCTGACCAGGTCTAGTGCAAGTGTTCACATTACTCCTATCCTGGAGTCCTTGCACTGGCTTCTGGTCAAATTCCATGTAGACCTATAAGGCTCTGCATGGCTTGGCACCTCAGTACCTGTCTGAACTATTATCGCCCAACTCCCCACCTCGCAACCTTCGCTCCTCTAATTCTGCTCACCTTACTGTCCCCCAAGCCCATCTATATTGTATGGGTGACAGGGCCTTCTCCTGTTATGCCCACAAGCTCTGGAACTCTCTCCCCAAAGATATCAGAGAGTTCTCTAAACTCCTTCAAATCCAGACTCAAAACCCTCTTCTTCAGAAAAGCCCTTACTTAACTGGTTCCATTCTTCACCCCTCTGCTCTTCTTAGTACCACCATCCACGGTCTCCTCTTTATATTGTAATTGTGTTTTATCTTGTGTATTCTTCTTATGTATTGTTGTTGTCATGCTGTAAAGCGCTTTGAGAAGCCACCTTTAAAGGTGCTATATAAAATAAAGTTTATTATTATTATAAAAATAACATTCATTTGGTCATAAAACAGCTACGCAGAATTTCTTAATCTTCAGAATCCCGGAACGTGTATTTACTAGTCGTCCCTGTTAAAACGCCAACCAAGCTTGACAAGGCTGTCATCCATATAAAAAGGAACAAGTAATAGGTTAATTCCATGCTGGAAAAAAAGAAGAAAGAGAACACAACGTTTCGGCCGTGGAGCCTTCTTCAGGTGAGCCTTGTTCATCAATATAAAAAGATTGTTTTTTTTATCTACCTTAAAAAAACAGCAAGACTTTGAAATGTTAAATGCTATTAACCAGTACCGCTAGATGGCAGCACACACAAGGAATTCTGAGATTCTTGACTCTTCCAGTGAACTAAACAAGTACACGCGAC